TAGATAGATAGATAGATAGATAGATAGATAGATAGATAGATAGATAGATAGATAGATAGATAGATAGATAGATAGATAGATAGATAGATAGATAGATAGTATTTTCTTTTCATTTCACAGTTAAATTAGATTGTATTATAGTTTAATTCGTTGAGTTAACTGCTTTATTATTAGTATTATTATTATTATTATCATATTTATATGCGTTTTGTAATATTCTGTTTGTGTTTTTAGCACACTTTTTTGCAGTAATAATAATAATAATAATAATAATAATAATAATAATAATAATAATAATAATAATAACAACAACAACGCAATTCAACCACAGCTGATTGCACTCTTTAAAACATGGATTTGTTCAGTTGTTATTACATTACATGACATTTTAAAATGGCACAGACACATAACAGTTAAAAGTTACCACTCAACTTTTTCACCGTCTAATGTGAGATAAACAATTTTTATGAGGGACCTTGGCTAGTATGCATATCAATATAAAATTATTTTTATCCACCAGTAGGTTTTGAAGTAGGATGTAATCCTACATCTCTTGCTCTCTAAGCATATATTTATATATAGTGATAGCAATGAGTAATGAGCACAAGAGATGCATTTATAGGGGAAACACGGAGAGAATCATGAATATTTTCTACTTATGAACAGAGGAGCTGGATTTTAGTGGTGAGAGGTAGAAAAGTACATTAACTCCACTGGAAGGTTAAAGGATAGATTCATATTTTTTCAAGTCTATAAAGCATTTTTAGCTGTGAAAGGCTGAAGGTGACGGGGGACAAAATTTACACCTTTTACTTTGTCTAAAAAAATAAACTCTGCCGTTAAGATGAGGTCAAAATGAGGCTTCAGAAGCCTGAGTTAGACAATTCAAGCTGGTTTTGTTCAAACGTTACATTCTTTAGAGTAATAAATTCCCTCTAAGTGCTTCCTGGACAGTGTTTGCGTAGAGCTGGGATAGTAACACAAATCAGGAAAAAGGAGACTACAGGACTGCGATGCTGGAACATCACTGTTTGACTTTTCCACCTCGGACGACTGACACTTTATTTAACGTACAGGAAAAGCACATTTGCTGTTCAGTGCAGAGAGAAAACCAGGCCAAGCATTTAAAATCATAAGTGCTTCACTCTACAGATCGCACAGACACATTTTCTGCTTTAAAAAAAATGTATAAAACTGGTAGTGATTTATACATTTTGAGCGCCATGCAAGAACCTTCAGTGCAAATAACAAAATCTTCCAAAAGTTGTAAAAAATAATTGCAGTTTCACTTTTATTTGTTTCATAAGAGAAACAAAAGCTGGAGCACACTGAATATTTAAATGGATTTTAAAGAAACCTGATTCAGCTGCTGAAATAAAAATTTCATCCATTATATTTTATTTTAAGAGGGACAGAGGACCGGCAGGGAAATGTCTCCCACTCAAATATTAGTATGTGCTCTTTTAATCCAAGAGCAGCGTGTGGTCCCCCTGGAGTCCTTCTTTTCTACATTCCAGTTCACGTTGTGCCGTTGTCTCTGTGCACGTCAACATGGACTTCCTCAAATGACGAGGGGGTGATCAGACCAAAAAGCTCGGTAGAGGACGTTGTGTCCACTCGTGGTGGAGTCGGTCGCGGCCAGCGCTCATTAAACTTGACAAAGAAGAGCGGGTCTTTGAAGGGCCCCCCGTAGATGATGGCTTGCATCAGGTAGACGAGAGCTACCACCATGGAACTGATGAGAAAGAAGGGGATGAAGGGCCTCAGGTGGTGCCACGCTACCCTGATCCCATATCCCAGGCCACCGAGCCCGCTCTGCCCACCAGTGTGGGTGGTGTGGCGGGAGGAATCTGGGTCTGGAGTATGTTCAGGGGACTCGTTATCCGAGTTCGAAGTGGATGGACCAGGGACGCTGAGTGTATCCATGAGCCAAATCAAAGCTGGTCCGTTGCTCTATCTGTTTGTATGGTCACGCATAGTCCTCCACAGATCACCTCTAGGGAGTATAAGGAAGGAAGCGTAAAGCCACACATAAAATCCCAGTGGTGTAGTGTCCCTGCTCTACATTCCTCTTTCGATCACGTACAGTATTCCCTTGGTCCTCCCAGCAGGTTTTTTCCCCCCTCCGATATGGTGTGCAGGAGTTAAATGCTGGTGCTTCTATCTGAGCGTTAGTGAGGAAACGAGGAACAGCGGAGGAGCCCTAAATAGAAATGACACCGAATGATAGGACACCATGAAGGAGAGGGGGAGAATCTGCTGCGTTTGGTGGTCTCAGGTTTAAAGAGCGGTGTGTGTGTGTGTCTGCACCAGCTGCACAGGTTGCAAGCATTACACACACGCAGTGAGTAACCCAGACAGGCGCACATCTGAGTCAGATAGCTGCTTGCAACAGCTGTGCAGTTAATTACAGCTCTAATATTAAAGCTGTAAGCAAGGAGTTCAGCTATAAATGTTGCTATAAGATTACCTTCATAAACTGGAAATTCTTTGAGATATTTACATGCCGGTTATATTGCCTTTCCTATCATGAATGAGGAGCCTGCTAATTTTGGCAAGGGAACTTCACAGGGCTCCATGTCGAAAGGATAGATTTACTATTTCTTTCTCCCTCCTCAGTATGTCTTAAAGCAGCACTCACATGTCCACATATACATTTCAGGACTCATTTGTCACTGTGATTCTTTCCTTGTAGCTTTATAGCTGTGAGCAAAGTCTAAAACCTTTGTAGCAGAAGATTTCTTTCATGATTTCTCCTTTGCAGCTGAGTGAGTAAATAAAAAGAATAAATCAATATGTATATAATAATTGAAGAGAAATGACTGTTGCTGCCCATCAATCTGGGAAGGCTCATCAGGTCATTTCCAAACAATTTAATAATTTATTCACAAGTGAGAAACACTAAAGAAAGCTGCCAATCCTCCCAGGAGCGGACGTCCCACGAGACTTAACTCAAGATCAGACCTTGCAGTGCTCTGAGAAACTGCAATAAAGCCCATCAAGAGCTACATCTTAAACTTCACAGGTCTCAGCATTTTAAATGTTAAAGCGATCCAAAGTATTCTAGAGTCAAATGTGAGTCTGCCTGTGCAGCAACTATAGCTTGGCCAAGTTGACCAAGCACAGCAGCAAATCTACAACAGAATGGCTGAAAAGTAAAGAATCGAGTTGTTGCAACAGCCAAACCTCAGCCTGACTGAAATGCTGTGGTGGGACCTTAAAAGAGCCGCGCATAAACGAACGCCTGCAAACCTCAATGAACTGGAGCAATGCTGTAAAGAAGAGCAGGCCAAAATTCTGTTACAGTGACGTGAGACACAGATGAAGTCATACAGAAAACTACTTACTGCTGCTAAAGGTGGTTCTATGAGCTACTGAATCATGGAGCATGCTTAGGTTTTCACACACTGCTTCTGCAGTTTAGCTTCATTTTTGTTCAATTTCAGCAGTGATGGCTGTTTCTAGCTAATGTCAAGACCTGTTAAAGAAGATAAGTAGAAGTGAAAGAGGTTTTGCTTTATTTTTTAACCAAAATTCTCAATTTGCACATCAATCTGTCTTATACATTTCAGGATAAGGGGGCATTGGAGTCTAGCTCAGCTGCCCTTGGCTAATAGGCAGGATGCACTCTGAACAGGTTGCCAGTCTATTGTGGGGCTTTATACCTTTTACACGCTTAAAAACTCAAATCAGGCCTAGTTCTCAAAACTTAAAATACATGTAGGCGTTTTTGGCACATCTCTCATAAATCATTAATCTGTAGCTTCCCTTCTAAACAGGACTCTGTGGCTTTTAAAAGTGAAAATGACTGCTTAAGATTGAGAGATGAAAGCAGGAGTATTATGTGTATGCTGGTGTGATTCAAACTGTTACAACTAAAAGTAAAGAGATTCAAGAATGAATAAATTGTTTAGTAGCTACTACAAAAAGCATGTGAACCTCCACACTATAGAATAAACTCCCTCACGGTGCTAAAACACCACTAACATGCCCTCACTGGCTGTCTTCCTGCACCTTGTGTATTCAATTTAAGGTTAAATTTATATTCCAGGCAGACGCATGCACATCATAGCTTAACTAATATCAAACTTTCACACCGACATCTGCTCATAGCCCTCGTGATCCAGCAGCTGCTTCTCAACCAGCCCACGATGCATTTCAGATGCGCTGCATACTTGAAACACCTAAACACTTTCATATCCACAGACAACCAACTGTATCTTTGACATGTTTGGAAGCAAACACACGCACACCTTCAGGACACTACCCTCCTGTCAACATGCTGCTCTGTGTGTAACCAGAGACAAACAGCAAAGCCGAGAACGTCAACGCTCGCCCGGCCTCCAGCTTTACTGTGGCGCTTGAAAGTTAGCTGGCTTTAATAAGGCTTGAGCACAAGGCGTGAGCAGTTTGAGGTCTTAAGTTAGGAGATTAACGTGTTTGTCTCTTAAATAAAAAGCATTTCCCAACTGAAAGCACTACTAATTCGATCTAAAGATGTGAGGGAGTGAATATCAAACACACCAACTATTAGCATTTGCCTTTACAAGAGTGAGGGGATGAAATTACACAGATGCATTTCCCCTCTTTAATTAGATATGTTTATCCACACGATACAGGAGTCCTTCCTCACATCAGCACACAGCCACATCAAGCACACATTACCAAAGCTTGTCTAGGAAAAGATCTTTATTTATAAAAAACAACCAGTTACATACGTCACTGAAAAAAGAAAAAACGAAAGCAACTTCTCAGAGCCAAGGCAGGTAATGAATGGTACATCATAATTTTACATGGATAGGCAACAGTACAAATATACTATGTGTGTGAAGAGTAAAAAACAAAAAGATGATTGGTCTCTTTTGCCTTTAAAGCAACTCTGATGTAAAAGTGGAATTATAAAGTAGAACAAATTGCATAATGCTCTCATCCACCACTCCCATACATATAAACCTCCAGAAAATAAAAAGAAACAGACGCACAAAGAAATACAAAAAAAAAACAAACCCAAAAACAAAATGTGCCTTCTGCCAGCCTCCCAGTTTAAATTACACCTGTATCTCTCCCAACCTGTTAAAACTCGAGTCTCCTCTGAGTACAGAAGCCTCCCAAATGTTTTAATACAGTCAAGCATGTATAAAAAACAGCTACAGAATTTTATATTTAAATTTCTTCCAAAGTCACTTCAGCTGGTCCAGAAGAAAAAAAAAAGAAAGAAAAAGAAAAGATGAACAGGCAGGTGTACAGGAATGGTTAAGGGCCTTCTGAAGCTGTATGTCGAAATATTTTAGTGGCTTAGTAGTGTTTGTTCACAGCTTCATCTCAGTACCAGGTCTGAAGTGTTGGCTGGTTTAGTTGGCTAAACCCAAACAGGAAAATCCAAAATAAAGCAGCTGAAATTCTCCTAAATGTTCCATGTGGGGAGGGACAAAAGGGAACAAAACAAGAACAGCTTCATCACAGGAAGAGGAGCACACAATTAAAAAAAAAAAAAAAAAAAAGCATAACTGATGGAAAAACATGTGGTGTCATCTGGATCAACACACTATCATTCAAAAGGTCCATATTCATTTTCCACGTGCACACACACACACCCACAGGTTTACTGTATGATAAATATACACACACCTGCCCTTTCTTGTCATCCCAACTGAGAGAAAATAACTCTAGACAGGAAAATAACTCCTATATAAACATTCTCAATCTACAGGGCGGGCTGTCGGTGTGTCCCAACCTCCCATTAATTAAATTAATGAGCCAAAACTACTGCAGTCACCCCCCTTTTCTTTTTATATACAGTATATACCCTACTTAAATGTCTAAATACAAACTTATCAGGGCCAATGTCAGGTGGCTGTAACATGACAATAAAATTGCCAAGAGGAAAAAAAAAAAAAAAGAGAAAAAAAAGTTAACAGCATGAAAAAAAAAAAAAAAAAAAAGCAAGCCAGAGGACAACACCAGAATCAAATGATTGTCAACAAAGGTGATTGCCTTTACAGAATAATTATAAGTTATAAACGGAATACATTTCTGCTGCTACAACTGAATTTGCACGTGTGTGTTGCTTGAAAGTCTTTGCCTGCAACACAACCACTTTCTTTGGATGCCAACCCCCCCGCCCCCATGTTTTGATCCCATTTGTGTGGTGATAAGAGAGAGAAACGGGGAAAGGAAGAGGTGAGGAGAGGGAGAGTCTGGATCTTCTCTCCTCAGTAGCAGTGGTAGGGCAGGGACGGCCCAGTCTGGGTGATGCAAACTATCAGTTTTTCTGGAGGAAGAGACGAAAACACAATGATTAAAAAAAAAAAAAAACACAAGTACAAAAGATATGTGGCTGATTTAGACATCAAACAAGGAGGCAACACAAAGACTTGTGTGGTATAAGTATGGCAATCTACACACTAGTGTTGTCACAGTAAACGACCTTTCAACAGGAGGCTACTATAATCACATCACACTTTAGTTTAGTTAAATTAGATTCTAGTTCCTGGCCTGCTGCCCTGCACATAAAACTATTCCATAATAAACTGAAGTCTGTGCTGAAGTCAATCATCCATTAACGACTCTAAACAAGTGACCTGGCTGCTCTGTGTGTGATTTGTTACGTGTCTTAACTGTCAAACATGTTTATTTAAAACCCTCACCGTTCTGGTCATGCAGTCAGGAACATTTTACAAAGTAATCCAAACAAAGCTGTTAAGAAATAGCACTTTTTGCCACTACTTTCCTCACAAACTCAAAGAAATCAATGAAACCCATTTCTATTCTTGGGTGTCTGTTATTGTAGTAGCCGACACAACCACAAGAGTGTGCTCTCACACACAAATAACAACCCACAACAGTGGATCTCCGAAAAACCAGACAAATATTTCACAACATGACAAAAGCATTAACACTTCCCGACATTCTTAAATCCACTCCAGCAGCTGATTGTAAAGGACTTTGAGGGGTACAAAGATTAGAGTAGCTGTCACAGCAAAACTGCTTTGGGAATCATCAATTTCATCAGAATCGTTTTGATTTTCATGTGCCATTTCTTGCCAAGAACAACAAATGTGACCAGTAACTTTTTTGTATGGCATTTAACAAAATAAATGCACGCATAAGGTACAAAATGGGCCTGAAGTTTCATGCCATTTGTACCAAACAGTCCCATGAGATCATGTACAGCAAACGGGTAGAAAACTGACACCGAACTTTGGTTTTGTATTAAAAGGACTGTATGTAACTTTTAAAACTGTGATATTGTGACAACACTAATGCATAAACAGTTATTATTCTGAGGATCTAAATGTTATTATTTAATGATCAGCCCGGGGTTCGGATTTACAATGACAGAGGACAATGCACAAGGAACACCTAGCAGCATACTATACCAGCATGAATACACAACACATCAGGGTATCTCATATTTAAGCATCAGTACAACGACACCTCTGCCTGTTTTAGTTCACAATCAGACTTGGACCAGGTTTCACTCAGGTTTTCAGTTATTAGAGAAAAAAAAAGGAGTTCATAAAGTTCATGCAGGAATAGAGGTCAGTTGGACATACCATGCTGTTACATGCAGAGGGGGGTAGAGGGGATGGGGGAGGGCTAACCATCGTAGGAGTCCAATAGAGGCAGGGAGCCCTTTCTGCCCCCATACACCCCTCGCTGAGAGAGGAGCCGAGAAAGACAGAAAGAAAGAAGGCGGACAGGAAATGAGTGTGAGAAAATGTGTGTCAATAATCGTGAGGTTTTAAAAGGTTACAATCAGGAAATATTCAGAGCTGTGCAGGAGGTTAGGGATTAGTGTCATTAAGCCAGCAATCCAACATGTTAACAGTGACTTGAAGTACCGGTAAAGTGTCTGTGGTCTCATCCAGAGTGTGTCTCCTTTCTTTCTGGTCCAGTGTAGAGTAGGCCTCTGAAGGAAGATGAAAACAGGTTAAAATTTGCTAAAGATTTAATCTTGAGGCAGAACAAAACCCCCCAAAAACAAAAGAAATCTACTAACCAGGGCCAATGTCATTCAGGGGAATCATGTCCCTCTTTTCCCCTGACACAAAGAAAAACAATTCATGAGTTAAGCTGTAAAACTCTTCATAAATAACCCTCCTGCAAAATTTAATGTAAATACTTTCCCTGCTCACCTCTGTCCAGGAGGGGTGTAGTGCTGTCTTCATAGGTGCCGTTAGCTCGAGTGCTCGGGCCGTTAGTGGTAGTGGTGCCTGGGTTAATGTTAACCATGAAGTCCGTTTTCTTCCAGCCGTCTTTCTCAAGAGGTCGGCGCAGTTCCTTGTGAGCCCAGACGAGCTGCAGGACCTGGCTCGCCCCCCGCACTTCGCGATCAGAGCGCTTGCTGAAAGATAACCAGAGATAAGGGTTTGAGCTGTTATCATCTCTGATATATATAACACACACACACACACACACACACACACACGCAAAGCACCTTTTCTACACTCGGAGAACACTTACCCATCTTTGTTGATTAGCACCAGGCTCTCGATGCCTCGTTTCTCTCGAAGGACCTTTGCTGGCTCCAATCTGTTGCCTAGCACCTCACTGAGCGTGCTCAGTACAGACACAACTGTCTCCTCGGATAGATTACGCCCAGACTGATTCTGGGCTCCAGGCAGGTTGGCCACAAGGTGAGGCACTGCATGCAAACCTGCAAGAGAAACTCTTACTCTTAACCCAAGTGCAATGAATGTTTAGAAGAAAAAAAAAAATGACACAGATGCTAAGATAATAGATAACAGCTAAGAAGAAACAATCTTACCTAGCAGTTCACAGTTTCGGTTGTCAATGGCAAGATTCCTCAAAGCTCCAGACATTGCACGGACCACACGATCATTGCCATGAGCCAGCAGTTCTGCCATCATGGGGAGTCCCTGCTCATGACGCACCTTTGCCCTGATATACCGACCATACTGTATGAAAAGCACAAAGAACAGATCAACTTTAGTTGTCATCTAATAACATAAAAACAAAGACAGACCCAACTATTCAGGGTTCATGCACTTTTAAAGTTCAAAATTAAACATTAGCCTTTTATAGCAGAGAGCCAGCTCTGAATCACTGATAAGAAATGATACTAACAGTCCACCGGCCAGCACACAGGTTCTGGATGGCGCCGGCAGCAGCCTCGAGCACCGATGGGTTCTGGCTCTCTTTGAGCAGTGACGTGTAAACACGAACCACTTCAGGCTGGAACAAAAGCTCATAACCTAAAGTTGGCAGAGAGAGAGAGAGTTGTATGCTTTTATATGAACACAAGCTCCCTGATCAACTATAAATCATCTGAAAGAGAAGCAGACACACAAACAGTACCTCTGGCAGGTGTCGTTCTCTTTGGAATATCAACCATATCTGCACTTCCATCATCTACATCCTTCTTTCCTGCAGAAAAAAAAAAGAAACAGCAGATAAGACAGATATAGTGATGTTGGGAGGGGGGGTATAACCATTTTCATATTCTCAGTCTTGTTATCTGGTCCAACATGCAACCAGTGGAACAAGCACCATCAGCATGCAATGCTATGTGTGATCATGCCTGTGGAATGCGTGTAAATTCAACGTTATTTCTCCAGGTGTTTCAATATGCATTAGTAAAATAATGTGATGAGAGGGATGGACAGCTTCGCAGGTTCGTGAGAACACCAAACGCAAACTCTTACCTTTGGAAAACCACTCATCTAAACAGAGCACAGAGAGGAAGAAGTGAAATAGGGTGGGAAGAAATAAGGAGGGAGAAAAGGAAAGGGGGG